CGTCATATCTGGCACTAACTCAAGATGTACAGCTCGTACAGCTGCACATGTAAACAGCATAATGTACACCTTGTGTCCTTGGTCATTGTTGCCGTTAACATACAACGGCCCAGCGAAATCCACTCCGGTTGTCTCGAAAGGCCTCGTAGTCATTATTCGCTTGGTTGGTAGTACTGTCCATGGCTCAGAAGCACTTTTGCCATGGAGACGCTGACAAATCACACACTTGCGCAGGATTGTCTTAATTACTTGCCTCGCCTGAATGACCCAAAAACGATTTCGAAGCTGTGCTAGAACGGCGTTTACGCCACCATGAAAAGTTGATTGATGAGCTTCTAATATCAGCAGCACACTTAAATGAGACCTCTTCGGCAAAATTATGGGATCTCGTTTTGAAAAGCTCTGCTCATACTTAGGAAAACGACTATTTAACCGCAGTATACCATCTGTCAGATAGGGGTTTAACGACGATATTTTTGATGAGTGATTAACTTGTTGTCCGTTCGATAATATTTCGTACTCCTTGCTGTAAAAATTTCGCTGCGTGTGTTCGATCCAGTACATCTCGGCTTTTTGTAGTTCTTCAAACGTTATTTCATCGACTTCACAATATTGTATACACTTTCGATTGCTTAACTGTTGGTTTGTCGACTTTCTCTTAGAACGTTTTACAAAACGAAATGCGTATGCAGTTACNGTTTTACAAAACGTGCATTTAATCTTAAAAGCTTTTTCAGACTGCTATAATTTTCAATGGTAGTAATTGGTGCAATTACTAGCTTATTTCGCTCGATGTGATTGGCAGTATTCAAAACTGATGATCTATGAATTTCAAGCTTCGCTGGCCAGTTTTCTTCATTTTCTCGAAGCCAGCTTGGCCCGAACTTCCAAATATTGGACTCAAGCAGATTTTTCGCCTTTATACCTCTGGTTAGCAAATCCGCTGGATTAAGCTTGCCGGAACAATGATGCCAATCATATATGTTCGACATTTGGTTAATTTCTGCTACTCTTGCCTTTATATACGGTTTAGGTTTTCGCCCACAGCCATTTATCCAGTTTAATGCAATACTTGAATCCGTCCACAAATAAACTGCGGATATTTTAACGCACAAGCTTTTTACAAGGGTTTCTTTCAATCTTGCTGCCATCAAAGCTGCTGTTAACTCCAATTTAGGTAACGTTAATTCTACTTCCTTATTATTTTCGGAAATTGGGCTTACTCGATTTTTTGAGCACACAATATTAGTGAGAATTCGTCCGGTTGGCATTATTTGTCGACAATAAGCCACTGCTCCATACGCCTTCGGGCTCGCATCAGAAAAGATGTGCAATTCCAATATCGATTCACTGCCTGCTGACAAACATCGATCAACACAGAAAGTTTCTAGTAATGCAAGCTCTTCTTGCCACTGTGAAAATGCACTCTGAGTTTCGCCATCCATTATGACATCCCATTCTTTCTTTTGACGCCAAACTTCTTGCAGTCGAATTTTTATTCTAACCGTGAATGGGCCCAATAGCCCCAACGGGTCGTAAATTTTGGCCATTGCTTTTAAAACGTTACGTTTTGTAGCTCGTAGTGTTTGGATATAATCATTACAAGATTTTACATCTACGGAAATTTTGTCGTTTACTGTGCACCATGCCAACCCAAGAATTTTTTGCTCTGCTATGCCTACTTCCTCTGTAGAAAGCTCTCGCCTTACGTCCACGTCGTTAGAGTTCCATTTCCTTAAGTTAAATTTCGCAGCTTCCATCACGGTTTGAGCTTGTTTAGCAACATGCATTGCTGCTTCTTTGCTTGGTCCGCTGAATATAAAATCGTCTACGTAAACGACGCTTTGAGTTTTTCACACAGCACGCTATGACTTTTTAAGCTTTCATCCAAATGATTACGTATAGTGCTAGCTAATAGGAAAGGGCTGGGTGTTATGCCAAATGTAACCCTAGTCATACGATAGATTGCCAGATCTGGCTTATGTTGATCTGCGCTTGGACATGACTTGTACCATAAAAAACGATGGGTATCTCTGTCGGCTTCATCCAGTAAAATCTGAAGGAATGCTTTCTCTATATCGCCCACCACAGCGATACGTTTGCCCTAAAGCGTAGTAGCATTGTGAGTAAGTCGGCAATGAGATTAGAACCTTCGCTAAGGTGATCATTCAGCGAAGTATGGCCGGATTCGCTCGAAGACGCATCGAAAACGATTCTCACTTTCGTTGTGCTTTTATTTTCTTTATAAACAGGTTTATGCGGCATGTAATAAATCGGCCTAGGAGACTCGATATTGGGCACAATTTCAGCAATTCCGTTGTCAATGAGGCTCTTAACCTCTTTGTCGTATTCTATAATTGTTGATTGATCTTTTAGCATTTTCGTTGTCAGGGACTGTAATCGACGCACAGCTATTTGGTAATTATCCCGTAGATCTTCGCTCTTAAGCTTCCACGGTAATTTAACAGAATATCGACCGTCAGCTTTCCGAGCTAGCGCCACTGAAGTTTCTTCGTATTCGATACTACGATCGCCTGTATTCAAATTGTTTTGTCATTATATTGGCTTTGCAATAGGATCTGAACGCACTCATATTTAGTGGGTAATTTGTTTTTATTTTTGTCGCCAAAGCCGGTAATTGTAGTTTCTTCAACTCCACACGGTTTTAATTTCAGCATTTTTGCTACCTTTTCATGCACAAATGTACGTTGACTGCCGTTGTCCATCACTATTCTTGATAACACCCTTTTTGTATTACTCTCGCTACTTATGATGGCTTTCGCTGTTTGCAGTAAGTACTCCGAATGACCTTCGCTCGCTAGTGTGCTTAATGCAGCCGCTTTTTTGCTGTTGTCGCTCATCTCTTTTTCAATACCTTCTGCTGCGTTTGGGTAATGATTCCTCTGCTCCCCCTCAGGCCCCTTCTCACGTCGTTCACACATCGTCGTTAGGTGTCTACCTGCGCAGTTTTTACATTTAACCCAATGTGCTTTGCAAAATTTTGATGTGTGGTTTTTCTTCGTACAACAAAAACATCGTCCCTCCTTTTGCAATACCTTCTTCTTGTCGGCAAGGCTAATTGTGCTTCTACAATTCTGTACGTTATGATTGGCTTTGTTACAAAATATGCATTTCTCGCTCGCTGTTATGGAAACTAAGCCGGTAGCTGTTCCTTGCTTTGTTTTGTTGGTAGTTTTAATCTCGCTTTTTTCGGAACTTCTGATAACTGTGCTTTCTCTATGGCTTCAATTTCTCTTTTCATATATTGGAGAATCGCTTTAAGTTGGTCGTCTTCTATGTCTCGCGTCGTGCTATTTAAAGTCGAAATCGCTGTTGTCTTTGTTTCAGGCAATCGAAAAAATTGTATTCTCATTTGCTTAGGTAAGCATTTAAGAATAACGGATTTTACGGTGATCGTGTATTGAGCTGGGGTGACCTTCAACGCGGACAATGTTCGAGTAGTTGACATCACCTGATTGTATAATGAGCGTAAGCCCTGCACGTCGCTGGTAGTTTGTACTGGCTCTAAATTAAGAAGCTTTTCTACGTATTTCTCGATTATCTTTTCGGTATTTCCGTACTCATCTTGTAGCAGTGCTATGGCTTCAGAGTAACATTCCTCTGTGGGAGTGAATCCTTGAATCGTTGATGAAGCCCTGTCAACCAATGCTTCGCTCAAAAAGTTAAACTTTGCTGCTGATGAAAGAAGGGGGTTATCATGCACTGTTGGCTTGAATTGCTCCCAGAAGGGCAACCATTTTTCGAAGCTTCCGTCGAATTTTTTCAGCTCAAGAGATTTGAGCTTAACTCCATGAGACGATTGCTCACCAGCGCCATTGGTGGACGTATTCATAGTATGCTCAAGTCGGCCTGCTAAACTCTTTTCGCGCGATTGCAACTTTGCAAAAATTGTGATCGCCTCGTCGTCATAGTCTAGCACTGACTCGCATTCCTTCTCCATATCCTCCTGTTTTATTATTTTTCTCACGGCTACGTCCGCCTTTTTTAAATTTTCATGCCCATTCCTTAACCCGTGCAAGAGAGTCCCCACGTTTTCAAGCAAGGTTTGTTTTTCACTTAATTTGGAAAAGTCTGTGTTTTCCAAGTACTCAGTACCTTTGATTAATAAGCTTTGTTAGCTGACCACGACAAGTAGCCCGATGGACCGATTCCATTTTTCACCTTACAATGGCACTTCAATATTCGTTACCACGGTTGCTCGTGTTTTATGTAAATTTATTGTTTTAAAGAATATCGTCTTTGTTTTTCCTAGAGCTCACTATAAAATGCACACCCGGTATAGTTTACTGAAATTCGCTATTTTAAACTAATTGCCCGCTCCCGATTTCGGCACCATGTGTAAAATTAAAAGCCCGGATCCGAATAAAGTACCAAAGATGCGGTTATAGTGGCGTTTAATAGTGAACTAAACTCTTAAGACTAATTACAATTATGTTATACCTAGTAAGGCTGTGTCTTATATCGTGTTAGGTGAGAGTGAGTAAGTTAAATGTAAATGAAATGTGTTTGTGTTAGTGTATGTATGTTAATCTCGTATTTTGTGATTTTCTACATAGGGACGCACCAGATACAGTGTACTATAAAACCTCGAGTGTCAGAATTTTAAAAAAGGAGTGACGCCACTTTGACTCTTCATAACTTCTTTTCTATTGCAAGCACATACTTTTAACGGGCTGCATTCGACTTTCTTCTCCAAATACTACCAAACATTCTACGCACCAAATTTTGCAACGTAAAAATAAAAAAATAATAGGAGAGTCACTTTTACTTGTGAGAATTTCCCAATTTTATTTCTGAATTATATGCATATTTGGCTAGAAAATATACAAGGTGGTCCTTTTTTGTATGTACATAATCTGCACAACATATGTAACGTGATTTTTGTTAATAAACCAGCGAAACTTATGTGTCCGAATAAAAACTGACGAGTCATGTGAAAGTTCGACCTAGTTGAGAATTGCCCACATAATAAAATTGTAACAGGCCGATGTCTGTACATTATAGATTTTAAAGAAAAAGTAATATTGGGGTCTTTATTAGAGAAACAGAAGCCAAATCAACAATTTTAAAATTTTTTTTCTGTATATACGTCTGTCTGTCTGTATCAAGGTTCGAAAATATTCACTCACCTTCGTACGCGACAGAGAACGTGAACGTATCAAATATTCTCTATTGATTCTCCTTCGCGAACGAGAAGCATAAAACAAGTCCAGATCGTTCGCCTTCGCGACTGCTGTCGTTCTCGTTCATAAGCAGTGTGACCGTTTTGATCCAAGTGAATCAAAAGTGATACATTTTTCGATGCATTTTTGAGGGATACTTTTTTAAATTTTGATACTTTTCCAATAGTGTAAAAAAATTCCCGTAGAAGTCGAAAAACTGGTCAAAGATGTTTACAATTTCTTCGCAAATAGTGCTGAAAGGGTGGACGAATTTGCCAAGTATCAAAACTACGTTGGTGTTAAAAATCATAAAACTTACTGTCCCAGTGAAGCGCGTTGCAATCATTTTTCATATCTTGCTTCGATGACGGCGTGAACTAAGCGCCAGCTATTGCCGAAAAAATTGATTCCGAACCAATAAAAATTTATTTTTTAATTTTGTCAAATGTTTTCGATATTATCAATCGACTCAACATAGAATTTCAAAGTGAATTACCCAACAACAATATATATATATATATATAACAATTTTGAAAGTAACTTTTTAAATTCGATAATAAAGTAGATTGCGTTGAAGACATAGCAGCTAAAATATGCTTCAAATAACTTTTTATGTTTCGAACTAGCTTCTTTTATTTTTAACTTGTTATGTTTGCCGCACAGCTCTGCGGCTGCAGAGTGCATATTCTCAGATCGGAATTTGATCAAAACAAATAGAACAAATCGCTCCACTTTGCCAATGGTGGAATGCATAATGTTTTCGAAATGTCTTAAAAATGATTAAAAAATTTGTGTTTAAGGGATTTGCGCTCCCTTAAAAAGTACCAATCTCGTGAATCCCGTAAATCCCTAATTACATCCCTGCAGCTTCCACTATAAGCATCCCTGCGGTAGTTGGAAGTCCGCAAATCGCAAGGGAATTGTTTCCCATAGGCGCACTGGAATCCCCTTCCAGTGTTGCCTATAAAAGGAAATTGCAACCGTACCACAGTCTTTTTTACGCGGGATTTTATACCTCATCGTGGGATTTCACCAGCAAGCGTAACATCCTAAACCGTATCATATTCTATTTCATATCCCCATTGAGATTTGCCTCTTAACTTGCGATGTACTTTGTTTATATACTACCATAATTGCTCTTCAACTATTTTTTAATATTTCATTTTATATACTTCACGTTTGCGCTAAATAAGAAATGAATTCATTACCATTGTTAATTAGTACATAAGCTACGCAAAGTTGAATTAAAACTTTAATTTGAAAAACTACATCGCAATCTCGTAATTTCTTAACATGGTCCTTCGAACCGGATTTGAAACAGTGGCAACGCAACCATTCGGACAGTTGAAATTACGCTGCTCAACACTGAGCCGCAGCTGTCATTTTCTCATATTTCTCTCATTTCCACACATTCAATTGCAATCTTTCAGCGAATCGGCAACAGCAAAAACAGCGAACAACTAAATTTTCAATCGCTGCAACGCGGGACTTTAAAACACGATTTAAGTGCTAGAGTATTAACTTTAAAATTGTGCTAAGTGCTTAGCCTAAAATCACGGCAAGTTTCATTTATCCCC